TTCACATCAGATGCCATACATCGGTCGTTTTACTGCTGGTATCGATTGCACGGGAACTGATGCGAAGAAGAGATAATGATCCGTTAGCATAACGTGTAATAGCGGACGTCAGTCGCTTTTTTAGTCGTCTACGGGATGTTGTGCAGGTTTTCGGGGCATTTGCCGCTTGAGAAAGTTATTGGTCTCAGTTGTCTCATGGAAAGTTTTGTTAAATGTCTTCGACCCAAACCACCCGCCCTTGGTTGGTAATGACTACAGTGAAGGTTCTCCATGGGAACATAGAAGGGAGTTTCGTTGCACATCAGCCCCACCCCCAATGCTATCGCTGCAATCATTTCCGTTTACACTGAAGCCGTAGCATATCTTTGGCATAATGTGACTGTCCATGCAAATGGCCTTGATAGTTTCCCGCTGGCCAGTTTTTGATGCATATTGTCATACTATTAATGATTTCATGAATATTCTGGATGATGTGAGATGGCACCTTTTCGAGGAATGGTCAGGCTCATACAATCGACTTTTTTGTTGTCTTTCTAACATATCATAGTTCTTCACATGGAGTTCTACGTCTTCTCATTTACAAGAGGCGTATCTTATCCTCCTCCAGAAAGAGAGGGACGAAAATCTCTCCAAAATTTCTTTGTCTTCTCGGTCGGAATTGCTTCAAGAAGGGATCTTTTGTAGGTATATGTCTATGTGTAAAAGTAAATATACGTTGAAAGTAAGGAAGTTATATCGTTGAGCACAAATAAATTTGTAGGGAATTCCCATTCCTCTAGGCTGAGGGAAGGATAGGATATGGCCCCAGCCTGGTTAGTGAACCTCGCCGTTGAGGAGCTTATACTTAGCAACAGCCGTGATTTTGAAAATAAGTCCTATGGTGATGCAAAAACATCACTGCAGGAAGGAAAATCATGTGAGAGCCATGTGACAAATCACGACAAAAGATGAAAACAAAATGCTAGAATGGTCGAAAAGAAGTGCGTGTGAGAATGGCAAGAACATGGGGA